TAGGCTGTGCAAAATCTGTAGAATAAAAGAAAAAAATCAGTTTTTCATATACACGTTTTTTTCCAGTGTAAAGTTTAGATATCTTTAACGCAATCATACACTATAACTAAACTTTAGATAGACTGGAAGTGAATTATCGCTAAATCTTTTAGTTTTATGTTTTAGCTTTGGTTTTCTAATCATTGCTCATGTTACAAGTATTCATGATTCGCATGCTTTAGCAGATCACGAATTACTTAAAACAATGTATACAAGTTATCGTTGTCTACAATGTCGAAATTGGTAAAAACTAATGTCCCCATAGGAAATATTTTATTCATAAAAAGTTTTAACTACAAAATTTTCATTTTTAAAGACAAAACTGATTTCTTCCATTAGGCAATATAAAATTAATGTTTAGAGGTACGGTATATCGTATATTATACGTCTATCAGCTCATAAAATTTAAGAACTACTAAGATAAGGCATAAAATAAGTAAATAACAGTGAAAGTATAGTTCCTGTTTGCCTTCAATCAGTTACTTTAAAAGGGAAAATTCCCAAGTTTTTTTGACTTGCAGAGACCATTTTTTTTGGAGAATTTTTGGTGAAAAACGAGCAATGTCCTCGCCGGGACTCAACCTGGACCTCTCGAATGCGCGCCGAGTGTGCTAACTGTTACACCACGAAGGCATGCAGAAAGGAGAGAGAAAATACCTTCATAATCATACAAATGAATTCAAATTAAATTATATATATATATATATGTACAAGCCAAGAATGGTATCAGCCAATTTATATTTAGAAACATTATTAGATAAACAATATAGAAGTTGTAGAACAGGTGTATTTTCATCATGCAATTTAAAACAGTAACCTATTACAATCTCTTGTATTCTTAATTTTGTAATAAAAATGAATTATGTTATAGAATCTTCGTGTTCGTTTTGGTAGTATACAACGTGGACTCTACGTAGAAGACGAAATAGCGAATGCTTGTTGGGTGTTTGAAGAATAAATACTGCAATAGAAGGTTTAAATAACATTTTTATTCGAACTAAAATAAACAGATGCACGCACTTGGTGCTCACAATTCACCACCACTTGTGACTAACTAAACTAACAGAAAATAATAATGTAAAATGCACATTAAATTAAGAGGGCTAACGACTGGCTCTTTAGCTTAACTAAATGCTAAATCGGCTGTACACAACAAAGCCGAGCCTAGAAATATCAGTATAAACTGAAAAGTGTCTAACAGCAACTAGAGAGCTAATTTCAAACACGCAACATAAACATTGGAGCTAACTCCGCTACTACTCCTTTCGAACTCTTGAAACACAACTTAAATACTGCTTCTGAAACACGTTTAGATTAGCATCTGCGCCATTACCAAAACTAAAAATAATTCGTTAGAATAAAATAAAGTCCTTACAATATCACCTTTCAAGTAACAGATTTCTTTTTAAGTGTTAATCTTTTCTCTATCTTTGGTGCTATAAATTCAATCCATTAAATCGAGCAAACCAATTTCAGTTTTAAATGGAAGGCGAACATAAATCAATAAATCTGACATAAATTCTTCCGTTACTAATGTTGAATGCGAGCGGCTATTTAAAGCGGACTTTTTTTAATATTTTTTAATAAGCATACAGTCTTTGGTAGCGTCAAATGTACGAGATCTCTTAAGATTGAAAGCAAATTATCGCTATGTCTTATAAGTACCACAGAAAAAGGCAAAGGGTGTAAAGGTCCCTTTTATTTGACTCAATTATAATGACTAAAGGTTAACAGACGGCACCACTCGTGCTTACAAAAGCCAGTCATTATGGCTTAAATTAAAGATAATGGATTAACTAAAACTAAGAAATGTAAATTAGCTTAACGGCTGCACAAACAGAATAACGAGCAAGCTCGCTGTGACCTAAGGTTGGCGTAAAAAGCCTAATGGCGAGAAAAACGCAACGCTCAGAATGCCAGTAAGAGAATCAAATTAGCAACGAGGCCTTCAGCAGGCACATCACGCTCTAATTCTATCCTCTCTAACCTTCCTTTAAATACTCTTTTCTTTCTACCTCATCTGAATGTCATGCGAGTTAGAAATTTATATTCTGGCAGGAAAATGGAAATGAGAAAGATTGAAAAAATGATTAACATAAAATAACTGGTTAGAAACTAAGCGAAAATTCTACAAGCATACTGGGAAATTTTAAAGAGATTTGTAAAAATATGAAAAACAGGAAAACGAACCATATCATTGAAAAGATATGTAAGATATGTAAGAAAATCTTTGATATGTCATGTATGCGTAAAATATGTGTAGATACTCTCCATATTATTTTATCAGTTATAACCATAAAATATACATAAATCTAGTATTACATTAATTTTTCATTTTGATGCCTAGTGGTAGTAAACGTTTACAGAGTTTTATATCATGTAATGTAATTCAGATATAGGTACTGGCAGATTGAAGAGCACCTCGCAAACAGAGAATATAAACCTGTTGATAAATGTACAACACTATCTTAAATGTATTTTTACTTCCTTATTATTTCCTGCGATCTCCTATTATACCTGCATATTTCCTGGGAACATTTTCTTTTCTCTAGCTTATTTTATTGCAAGATAGTTGTATATAATGATTAATATTAACATTTGTGCTCTATATTAATCGATGGTTTATGCTGTCGGGAAGATTTCTAGTCAGCGGTAAGACTCTATTAGCAAATATATTGATAAGGAGCCAAGTTTTCTGGAAATGCATGAGTTAGGTACTCCTAATCCTCACTGTTCAAAAATCAGCTATACTTTCAAAAACAAGGCCAGAGGTCAGCATTTATTCTCAATAGAAGTAAATCTGTAATGCTTCCAGTCTGCAGGCCATTCATGGTGGATGATGTATAAACTCCATATTCAGCGACATTCAGATGTTCCTTATTGCTGTTCCAAGAGATCTGAGGTCTAAACTCCATTAGGTTCCTATCCACACTAGAATAACAGATAATGATGCTACTGCAAAAAAGAAAAATTATCAAGCCTAATATACACACACTAGATGTGCCACTTTTGGACTCACATTTAAAAGCTAAGTTGAAAAACAACCTCTTAAAAAGGGGGGTAAACTACTTTTGACTCAGATATGATTGGATAGGGTGCGTAAGTTCTGCTCAAAAGTTGAACAGTTTTTAATTAAAGGCTTAGTGCAATTTACACAGTACCTTCACAGGGCATAATCATTATATTAGTTACCTGCATAACTTAGATTTCACTTGCGTCCAAATGACCTGTGCATATGTGAGATGTTCGGGGACCACGACCATTACTTTCTTGACTGCCCAGAATCACTGAACTTCTACTTACTTCCCTTATATAATACACATGCATGGATTAATAACACCTGTAGAAAACATAACGAGCTCAAAGGCACATAAGAGTTCAAAAGCACAGAGGTAAGAATTTCAAACAATCTGGAATAATTTCCCCTACTCTGCATTTTATTGCCATACCATCAGCATTATATTTAAAATGTTCCACAGATACAATTATGCTTTGCTTTATCTTCAAGCATGCGTTAATATTTCCTATCATTGCAACTGGTAATGCCCGTAACTTGTAATATTCTGGTATTATAGTGTCTCTCTCGTTTCGATTTCAATAGTGCTATTTATATAGATTCTAAAATATTAATTTTATTAATTAATATTACTAGTAGTTGCATTTATGTAGTGTATGTAATGCTGGCTTTTAGATTATTATTGTTTAGTATCTGTGTAGTACTCTGTAATGGCATTTTATTTCGCGCTGTTTTGTATTCCTTTATAGTGTTTTAAATCATACAATAACTGCATACCGCACCGTTTTCGTGAATTGTATTCAGTATCTTGTGGTATTCACACATAGCGTACGTGCACTGATAAATAATTTCATTGGTACCGTAATTGATTATAAGATTTTTTATCTTCTCGCTGTGTATGGAAATCGCATGTTATATATGTACTACAAATTCTTGTATTATCACCTATTTAATTTCTGCATTACATATTTTATTTAAGTATTTCATATTTTCATATGCTACAATATTTCTCATATCATTACTGAAACCTGTGGAGTTTTTGTTGCGTTGACATCAAGATTTTTACTGCACATATTCTTTGCTTAGCAACGTGAAACTTTGTATTCAATATTTATTGTGCTTCACAGAATTATTCATTATGCCTTTTTCTACAGTGTGGAGACATTCATTTATAACAGAAACAGTTTTAAATGCAGTTATATTTGGTACGTATCCCACTTGATTTTTCAACTTCCTTTCGTCACATGTAATGATCTTCTACATTTTGAGATTCCTCCATTCTATCAAAGACAATTCCGAACGCCGAAATGATAGAATGGGCTTATGAAATAGATGAAAGCGCGAACACGACTTAACTGATTGTTAATTTGCTACCTCTGTGAGTGAGCTACATACTGAAGATACAAATATCCGCGAAAACATATAGTAACGATATTTGATGATTTCTTCAATATTCTTAATAGATACGACGCTCTGTAATTTTGCAGAGAATGATTTAGAATTTCCTGCTCTGATTTTATTAATTTGTGATGCAGATTAATAAATAAATCAAATTTGCATAAATGTGTTTTAAATAATATAATAATCCTTCATCTGAGTAAAATATCTGCATTTTTATATGTAATATTATAAAGTTTGAGGGCATTTGGAATTTGCGACAATCCTAAGCTAAAGCTCCGTAGCCTGTTAGCTGGCAATTTAATTTTCCGCCATAATTCATGGGAAATACGTCAACTGGGAACTAAATAGATAAAAAAGAAGCTTCCTTGTAGAGCTTCTTTTTAAGTAGGAAGATGTATTCTAGAAAACTCTTTTACTGAATTTCAAGAAGAGGAGATATCAAAACACTCCAAAAACCGATATTACTCTTAGCTCTTAGAAGAAAGAACTGAATGCAACTCGTAAATGTTTATACAAGTAATCAGTTTGAAACAAGTAACGTCAGGGACATTTATATGTTAAAAATCGGAAATCAGAAAGTGTGACACAGCAGTACTCGGGCGCATGTGACCGCTTACAAACAAAGGAAATGATAAGCATCGATAATGAAAAAGATTATCTGTGCAACCCGTTATGCAAGGAACAGAATGTGAATTAGATAGATATTCAATATGGAAATAAAATTTTTGATTAGAGAGGGAAAGCGCATTTTACTGGACTCATCAATCGTAATTATTTAATCCTATCCGAAAGAACTAATTTCAGCTGAGAAGGGAACTACCTTAAATTGAATTGTTTTAGTCCAGGTCAAAACTCGGATGTTTAGGTAAGTACTTAATTGAAATAATTTATTACTTATTTATCTTCAGATCAAATAAAAAATAAATAAATATAAAAAATAAATCATCAAAAAGAACTAACTTTTCTATATAGAAGTATTTTCTCTTATCATTTCTGTTCTTCTGAATTTAATAGCCTTGTTCAATTTAAAATTAGGCAAAAAAGTAATTTTAGGTTAGTGCACATTTTGAGTAAAACTATTTCGGTTTCGAATGCGATTAGACATAGGTTTCTTTTTTTTCCCATGAGCAAAAAACAAATTCTGAAATTTCTGCGAAAATATTCTGAGCAAGAGCGGTTCTCCTCCTGAAGATATAGTCTTATTTTCTTATTTTTTAATTAAGAAATTGGGAACACCTTAGACTTTACTTAAAATTTTCGTTCACAGAAAAGGTTATATAAAAAAAGGAATTAAAGTCTTATCTTTCAACTGAAAATATCTTTCATTTATATGCATTTATATAAAAATCGCTCATATTTACAAAATCTACCGGGGGAACATTATTAAACTACTTTATAAACTAGAAAAAGGGGTTTCCCCCGCGTTGAAAGCACAATATAGTTGTTATATTTTGACCACAGTTCTTAAACTAAGAATCTTGCAAAAACTGTCAAATGCTCATTACTTTCTTAAAAAAGTATATGTCACTAATTCAGAATAGAATCCCGAGTTCAGTTCCTTTTGCAATAAGTTTTTCCATGGTTTTTCTCCTATATAAGATGCGCTTACCCTTGTTATGGATTTCAACAATTTTGGTTTGAGCAGCGCAACTCTACTCACATGCGGATTTTTTGCAACAAATGCAATGGGAATTTGTTTGGAGATTTGCAAAAATTTGGAAGTTCACTAGCAAATCGTATAGAATATGAATATACCAAAAAGTAAGAAAAAATTGAGTACGCCATGAATATGTAAAAACATACGTAAATGTTACTTGTTTTCCTATTTACTGGCATGAATTATAACTTATATCAATTGCAAAAAGCTTTAGTTTCTGATTTCTAGTACTAGTAACATGTGAAGCACCAACATTGTTTTGTAGGTATAGTCTTAATAATATTTAATAATATGTAATGCATGTACACTGCGCACAAAAAAGGGGGGCGACAGCTGTATATCTCCCGTTCTACTGGACCGATTGACGAAATTTAAATTGCGCTTTTCATGTCTCGAAAGCGCGACTTAGGATATGTATTAAATTTATATATAGCATTGTTCTAATACAGGTATTTTGACACAAAATTAGACTTTTTTCTGAAATGACATGCCAATTTTGTTTTCCATATTTCGATTTTCCGACTCAAATTATGCCAAATTACCAAGTTTTGTAAAAATCGCACGAGCAGTTTTTAAAAAATTAGCTCTCAAAATTTTAGCTCCTCAGCGTTAATTGAATTTGATATATATTTATTAATATCTCTTTTTTATTAAACTTATTTGATTCTTCCTTTGATATTTCGAAATTTAGATTCATTCCAAATAAAAGTCGCCTATTTTTATGGTTTATTTTTAAAATTTGTATTTTTAAATAATATTTTATAAATTTTTAGGAAAAATTTTGAATTATAATCTATAAAATTTTTACCATAATCTTAAAGTAGATATATTTCTAAGCATACCTGCAAAAAATTGGAGTTTTTTTATTCAAAATTTCCGAAGATATACGTGAATTTGTATATTGGCACGTTTTGAAATTTGGCATATTTGTTGAAAGCGATAATAACATCAAATGGGGTTTAGGCACTTTGTTAAAATTATTTGAAAGTAGAAACGATGTGACTTTTTCCCGCTCATGCACAATGTAAAAAGCTAGGAACTCTGTAAACTCTTTTTCCGCTCCTGCACAATTGAAGGGAAAGGAAAATAGGTTGTCATATATAGAGAAGTTCGCCAAGTGAATTATTCTTGGCGCAAAATGAAAAAAATGCGCCAAGTTAAATTTTAAAATTTCTCCGTAAATTTCGCCCCAAATTTTACAAAATTTAATATTTAAGCATAATGTGAGTCGTAGAATAGAAATATGTAAAAAAAATTGGTATGTTATTTCAGAAAAGTCCGCTTTTGTGTCAAAATACCTATGTTAGAACAATGCTATATATAAATCTAATATATATATTAAGTTGTGCTTTCGAGACATATAAAACGCAATTTGAATTTCGTCAATCGGCCTAGTAGAACGGGAGCTATAGAACTGCCGCGCTTTTTTTTTTTCCTCGCAGTGTACACTGTATGGTAGGGCCCACCAGCGGCCGAGCGGTTAAGTCGTTGAACACTGGTAGTTCGGTTCGAATCCCGCAAACGGGCTGGCTGCATGGGCGTTTTCGTGGTTTTCCCCATGTGTAACTTGTATACGAGCCAGTTTCCCTTAGAAAGTCATGCACGAAGGCATCCCTCCCCTTAGGCAGATAGCCCTCGAGGCTTTGCCATAATCACACACACACATTGTATGGTAGCTTGTAAAACACATATAGCAACCCTAAGCCCGCGTAGCAAAAATACGTGTGAGAAAAATTTGCTGGCACCTCAGCATATTAGATGTGACAGTATTTAAAGAGCTATAAATTAAACAAATTAAATTTTTAAATAGTTATCATATTCAAAATTATAGTTCTACTTTGCATAAAAGGAACTGATCAACAAGTTTGATTTTTTTTCACATTCAGCTGATAATTTGTAAAAGACTCATGTTTACGATTCCTTGACTTTTTCCCATCTCTCATCGCCTGTAAATATTTACTTAATTTCATTTATATAATATGCTAACTTTTGAAAACAATTTTCTTAAAGAAATATGCATATGAATTTTAGCTAAAAAATTTTTTCACCTTTATTTAACGCATTCGATGAAAATAAAAATAAAAATTATTAGGAACATTAGAAAATAATTGTATAAAATAATAAAATAAAGAAGAGTTGTTTTACTAAAGTGTTAATAAAAATTACGTTTATAAACGCAGTAATAATAAAAGAATGGTTAATAATAAAATAACAATAATAATTAAAACAATGGGTTAATAAAATCATGGTTAGTAAAAGCTGTGAAACGACACGTGTAAAAATGGAGATAAGAATTATTAGGATCATCAGAGAATAATTTCAGAGTTGTTGTACAAAAGGGTTAATAAAAATTATGATAATAAAAGCAATAATAATAAAAGCATGGTTAATAATAAAAAAATAATAAAAATTAAAGATTTTGTTAATAAAAGCAATGAAACGACACCTGTTACATGTTCTGGATAGACATTATAAAATAAATAGTAGGTTGGATCATTGAAGACAGCAAGAACAGATTACTAAGTTAATTACTCGGCCAACTAAGAATGGAAGTATTTAATCAATACTCTTAATTAATTACGTCAGCAGAGATCCATATATAATCGACTATTTTGCTACCTCGTCTCTCATTGCCAAAAAGAGCAAGCCTCTCAGAAAATACACATGTAAAAAATGAAATGAATTCATCTTTCATGAAACTTGAAAGATGAATGGTTAAAAGCGCTTCATTTTTCTTTGAAGCTCCAAAAGAAAAAAAAAAAAAAAAAAAAAAAAAAAAAAAAAAAAAAAAAAAAGAGAGAGAGAATTTAAGAAATGAACTAAAAGCGTATCTCATCAGCAAAAGTAGATGTAAAAGACTTCTAGTTTTAATTTATCCTCTGTGTTGATGAGACAGAATGTTTGAAACAGAGTGCTTCACGTACAATTTCACAACAGGTTCTTTACCTTTGTGCTGCGAGGTCTGGGCGAGTATTGTGACGAACCAAGGAAAATAGGATATAAATTAACTTAAAGCTAACTATTACAGGGGCTGTTCGAACATTTTTTAGACGATTTTGGTAAGCGGTAATAAAAAATCGTTTGCTGCAAAAGAAGTAATTGCAATTGTACTATGTTTTTAAAAGTCAAAATTATCGTCTGTGGCTTGAAAGTTTTGTTTTTATTCAAAATGGCAAAGTTAACAAAGCAGTGGTTCGAAGGCTGCATTTACGCTCTTTCCGAAGAGAAATATGCATACTTCGTTATCCAAAAACTATGTGAGAGTCATGGTTTTGTGATATCTAAAGCGTCGATAGGTAATATCATCAACAGGAAAGGAAAAAAACGTCAAATTGGAGCCTCAAGTGGGACAAAAATTCCAAACAAGTATCCAAGGAAAAAACGGACATCTTCGACTATTGCAAAGGTACGTTGTTTAATGTTAAAAGAAAATCCCCCTAGTCAAAGGACAGTTGCAAAATCATTAAAATGCTCGGTGTCCACTGTAAACAAAATGATAAACGTTGATTTAAATCTTAAGAAAGCGAAAAAACGCAATGTGCATCGTCTTCTTCCAAAGCATATCGCTCAACGCAGGACACGCTGCAGAATTCTATGTGAGAAACACTTATCCAAAGAAAAATTGAAAACAATTGTCACAATATATGAAGTATGGGTGTATTTAAATGATTGTAACAAAAAAAAAAAAAAAAAAAAAAAAAAAAAAAAAAAAAAAAAAAAAAGAGCTATTTATTATCATAAAAGGGGAGAAAAATTTTAAGTACATGGTTCAAAAAATCGAAAGAATGTTTTTCTAAGGGATTCATGATTGTTGCTGGTTTTTCTTATAATGGCAAATTAAAAATAAAGAGATTGCCAAAAAAATGTCAATATTAACTCCAAATACTATCAGAAACATATTTTATCGCCAATTTTTCTGAATGAAATACCATCGCTTTACCCACAGTGCCATCAATCTGTGAGACTCAATCAAGACAAAGCTAGCAATCACACATCAAAATACACTGTAAATTTCCTAAAAGAAATGAAAAAAAAAAAAAAAAAAACTGGTATCAAGGCCATACCCTTCACTAATATCCCTACTATATCTCTTGATGTGTCACCTACGGATTTTTGTGCTTTCGGACTTAAAAACTGCATTATCCAAACGTTGTCCCAAAACCTAACAGGACTCTGGAAAGCTGTTCGGGAGGAATGGGATAGAATATCTCTTCTGCCACTTCAAAAGGCATTATTATCCTGGAAATTACGGTGTCGAAAGATAGTTCAGAATAAGGGATGTCAAATAGAACATTTAAAACAAAGGAATTTTATGTAATTTAGTTTTGTGAATACAATATACATCGTCTAAAAATGTGTGAACAGCCTCTGTATTAAAACGTGAAGCATAATTATCACAATATAACTGAATCAGTTTATTGAACAAATTTTTTATTCGTTACTGAAATGTGGGTAATGCCAAAGAAAAAGAGTTTTTCATTGTTAATAACAACAATCGATAATTATGTTATAAATGTTCTGTTTGAAAGGAAAATAGTTCTGTTCAAAATTATAATTAGTGAACTAATTATGCTGATTGCAATTTATATTGCCATCAAACACTAAGCATGCGCTTGTGCTGGCAATATTACACGAGGCGTTTTGTTTGATTCACCGGAAATATCACAAGACTGCAGTTGATTGAATTATATTATCATTACTATAATAATAAAATTCAAGAAAATATGTTCAAGTCATATTTTAGCTCTTACTTCGTGATTAGTACATTTGTGGAAAAGTATGCATATTCCCGCTTAGTACACACACACACACGTAACAACAAAACAAAACAAAATGCAAATATGTCCAAATGTGGGACGTGACCACTCAGGACTTTGATAAAATTTTCTTATAGATGTTTTATAGCTTCAGTGAGGTAATCCAGCACAGTAGGAAGTAATAACTACCAACACTATAGAAAAAATATTTTCAGCCATCGAAGGTGTTAACGGTCGAGATAGTTCTCCCAAAGCCATGTCAAAGATTTTTTGAAGTGAATGAGATCTACAAAATACACTGGCCACCGCACACAAGAATCATTAGACTTTTTTAGAGAATGGAAACATGAAACATCAGCTGTTCTGCCCTTTTAATTCGACTTACGGAAGTTGGCAAGAAGTGCTAATCACGTACACCAGGACAGCACGCACGGAGAATACAATAATTCCTTACAAGCATAAAAGAAATACCATTCATTTCAAGGTACACCATGAACGAGGGTTTTCTTTCATCAAACGAAAAAATAAACACATGCCTGCTGCAGCCTAGATTCTTATCACGTCCAGATTCTTAATTATCACAGCAACGCGTTTAAAAAAAATACAAATCACTGCAATATACCTAAAAAACTTCAAATTTAAGGGTTTTGCGTTTCAATCAATGTATATATTTTAGTTTATGACAACTGTTTGACAACATTTATCGCTTTTGAAGATAATAATGCTTAGATTAGAAAGAATTTCATTTAAAACTGCTTTGTCATTTTGATTAACATTAGAATTCAATAATTTATCATTGAAAAAAAAAAAAAAAAAAAAAAAAACATGTGAGTAATTAGGCAATTGAAAGTTTCTCTTTGTGTATCTGAAATTATGCTCTTTTTCGAAAACAGGCAATAATATTGACAGCTGAGGACTTAAGATGTTCATAAAACAAATTAATGATACATTTAAATTCATTCTTTTGAAGTTTTGACAGAACAACATTAGCAACATTAATAACAGGAGTATTTACTGTTGGGAGATTGTTAAAATGACTGACATAGATTGCTGGAAAACGAGGTTTCATAGTTTAGAAGAAAATGATTCTTCTAAACTACGGAGAGGATATTTTATCCTTGGAATCGGTTCCCGACGGTTGGAATGAGATTATAGTTTTCTGTATATGATTTTATAGTGTTTCTTTGTTTCATCGTTAAGACATATTGTAAAGACATTAGGTTATTTTGAAGCAGGAGACATGAAAAATGACGATTGCCCTCGCCGGGACTCGAACTACGGACCTCTCGAATACGCGTCGAACGTGCTCACCACTACACCACGAAGGCATACTAAGAAGGCGGGAGTAGAGCTAGTTTCTCTCTGAAAGTCTTCTACAAAGGCATCCTTTTCCGGGATCTTCTCTGAATACGCGTGATACAGAATGTGGTTTTATGTACATATATCTTTTAGTTTTTATTTAATACTTATAGTTGTTTCACTTTTTATTTAACATTGAAACTCCGATTTATTTATAATCACATGAATAACCATTTACCTGTTGTTTACACAGGGCCTCTTGCTGCAGAAAGAGCTGAAAACCCGTTGTTTGAATATAATTTTCTCAAGTGAATAGAACTGTCACAAGTATCATGAGATTCATTTTATGACATTTAACTATACTGAGGTAAGCAATGTTAATTTCATGAAAAATTATGCAGCAGAGAAATGAAGTAAACTTTATAATTTTATTGAGAATTTTATAATTACATTTAGGAACAAATTAAGACAAACTTTATATCCTTGATAGTTATGAAGCAGTATATAGGAAGGTTGTATGTGGGTCATTAATTGTATGTAGGGTAGAAAATTTATGTATGCCATTATTTAATAGGATTAATGGAATTACATGTATATGAAATTCTTCTTCTGGTATCGAATGGAGTAAGGCTGCGCAAGTTTTACCACCGCTTAAGTCGTACCTTTTAAATATTAGGGGTACTGTCCCCCTAGCTGCGTCTTCTAGCAAAAACGAGTTACTCCCATGTCAACCATATTGTTTCATATCATCTTCCTGTAATACTTATGAGGAAGACCACGAAGAAAATATGATTCATTGCCTAAAAGGGAAAGGATGGCTGCATGACTTATGTGCTGGAGTTGATAAGAAAATGGAAAGTATCTTTGTAATCGTTGTAATTAATTTTATAAATAAACTATTTAAGGGAATGAAAGTTTTATTATAATTGTCCAATTTTAAACTTAGTACGACTTAAGCTATAGGTGGTAGGACTTAGAATTCTGGTTGCCTATGTCGTACTGAATTCGTGTTCATAAATTTTATTAATTCTATCTAAGCCAGTTGAATGTGTGGAATTTTATTGTAATAAATATCAGAGACGATAACACAAGATATTATTATCACACATATTTTTTTTCATAGAACCTACGATATATATCTGTTTTTTTTTTCTTGGGAGTACGACTTACGCAACCTTATTCTAAATATTCGAATTTCAGATATCTTCTTTATTGTTTAGTTTCTATTGTAGCTGATAGATTATTTTTACTGGTTTATTAAATTCAATACTACTTTCTTTAAAATTTAAGCAAAATATATGCTATAAAGGAATTTTATTTCAAACTACAAATCACAACCCACCGGTTATGCTAGACTTTTGAAACAGGAAAAAAAGGTTATTCCCTCTAAGTCATATAATGTCATTCACCCTTGTTTATTAATCCGGACAAGATTTTTTCATGCAGAATGATCCTTTCCCTAAATTTAAAGTGCCCGCGCTAGGCCTGGTGGTAAAACCGCTGAACATTTTAGATCCGGTTTTCAAATCCCGGCGAACCGGCTGGCTGCAGGGATTTCTTGTAGTTTTCCCTCTGTATAGCGTGAATACGGACCCTCGAAAGAGAAATTTCAGGTTCCCTTTGAATGGCATCCATGCAGTCCTCCCTTACCACAGATAGATAATCCTTGTGTGTTATACTGTAGTCTAAATCCAATCCTAAATTTAAAAACGTACTGCTTAGTAAAGAAAATCCGTGTATATTCAATATAAAGTATCAGAATGCCGTCAATTTTAATGGTCTTCATCTCACGCAAATGATTTGATTACATTGTAAGAATTGTTGTAAATATAAGACGGCCAATCAGCGACCGTTAAATATTGGTTCGACCCTCACGCAAACGCAGATGAATGGGTTTACTGCATGGGCATTTTTGAAGTTTTTCTCATGTGTAACGTTAATATGAAACAGTTTCCCGCAGAAATTCCTCCAGAATGGCAACCCTTTCCTTAGGCAGTTCAGCCCGGTGTGCGTTGCTTTAATCAAATAACTAACTTTATAAAGACCATTAGGCATTTTATTTTGGACCAGAAGTTTATGACAGTTCGCTGGAAATCGAATTCATGACCTCAAGCGGTAAGGAGGGAGCAAATACCTTATAGTCTCCCTTCCCCTTAAAGAGCGACTGCGGAGGAGAGAAGCCTTTCGCTAAATTCTGGTGGTAACGAAAAATCGTTAACCACCTCTTACTTTCGGGTACCACTATGGTAAACATTGGGCATTTTTCAAAGTCAGCAAGCCGAAGAAATTCTCAATGCCTTCTACGAAATTCGAACTTCGAACCTCCCACCCGATAGCTGGGCACGTTTCAAATTACACAACGAAGGCCCGCTACAAAGAAGGGAGAAAATACTCACAACTTCATAAATGTAAGATTATTTTAGAAAAAATTAAATGCATGATTGTATGATGCTTATTTAGCTCCGCATTAGCACTGGTGATCTGTGTGAAACAGGCCTCTTTTATTTTTATTTTTTTTTTATTTTTTTTAACGGAATTATATACATTTTTGGTTCTAAAACTTCGCTACTTACCAAGCGGAAATTATTGGAAAATAGTGAAAACTGCTGGAAAATCAAAAACTTCTGAATTCGCAATGATGAAATTATACTGTAAATCTTTAAATATATGGTGTACTATCATTTTTAAATCTTACAAACAGAATCAGTTCAACTAAATGTTTTTATAAACTTGCTATGAGGTTCCGAATTTTAATTTTTCTTAAAGGATATTTTCCCCCATCTTTTCTTAGTTTTCCATGTTAACATATCATTCAAAGGAGAACTGTATAAATATAGGGCTTTTACACACTTTTTTAGATTCATTTTAAAGTACTAAAGATTAAAGTTGCGCTAATTCAGTCTGCAGTTTTTTATAGTAAGAATTACATTAAAACAATAATTTTTTCATAAAGTATTTAATAGTTAATAAAGAATGCCGTGTAATTTACATCTGTTATTTTTCTCTAATTTTTAAATAACAAAATGATTATTAATTTTAACGCGTTCATTTTTGATTAAAAATTGCTATTGATCAATTATCTATTGAGTAGACTTAATAGTAAAATAAAGAATTACAAATTGTTATTATTAATTACGTATCAATTATTCAACACTAATTTCGGAACGCAGAAAAAGATTATTTAGTGAAATGTGCAGTTTATTCCTCATTCATAACTGTCCCTTTTGAGATCTTTTCTTTACTCTGCCTTTGATGTAATATTATTTTTAGACTGATAAGAAAATAATTACGTTTCATAGCATGTAAATTGAAATGCATTTACCTCAGTTCTATTAGTTTTAACCAAATGAGAAAACTCAACCAAACCATAGAAATTTGGAGTTCTGATACTGAGGAGATCTCGAAAGAAGTTTTTGGCAGCAGGTACAGCTATGAGTGGACGGAACACCAGAATTTCACCAGTGGTCATACAGATATAGTCCCACCGCGCAAACTGTGTAGCCCCGCTCGAGGTTTGGTAGAAAACACAACGGGGGCTGCGGTCCGAGGGTCTCCACTCTTCTTCCCTTATCACCAACCACTCGAGAGGATTTTCGGCTCGTCATGTATTTTCAGCGCACCCTTGTCGCACAGACAAACTTGCCGCTTACAAATATCCATGCCTTCTTCGGAATTTGAATTCTTTTTGGAAGCAGATCGACCACTGAATATTTTACCTTTCAACAAGCTAAAGAAACAGAAGCTTATTTCGCGGGGAGTATGCTATATGAGGCAAATTTTGAAATTTAAGTCGTTTAGTTTTGGAGCGTTGGCAGTGAGATGTGGGATGACTCCTGCACTGCTGAGATCATCATAGCTGAGATGTGTGATCACTGCTATTTGGAGTCCTGTCGTACAATAAGGATGCTTTTTGTTGTTTGATTGATCAATGAAGGCTTAAGATGTCGAAATTTGTAATGCATTTACTTTATTTCCTGACAATTCTCCTCGTTTGTAACGGTTTCATTTTAATTAAAAAAATTCTGGCGGAATATGCTGACATCAAAAAACCAAACTTTTCTGAAAGCATATTCGTTTTCATATTGCATTGGACTGGATTCGATCGTATTTACTGGATTATAGCAAAGCACAATCGAGTTAACTGCCTAAGGGAAGGATGCCTTGAAGAACTTTCTATGGCTTGTATTCATGTTAGACATGGGGAAAAAGAACGATTTGATTACAGATAAAGTTTTAGAACTTCATTTGTGTCAGGTCATTTGGGCAAAACACTTTTTCTTATCGCAGAGTTACTCTGTTATTCAATATGCTCGTGAATCTTCATTTCTCTTATCTGTCATCTGATATGAACGAGCAAAGGAGCATTTGTATTTCTCAAAAGAAGTGCATAGTACATTTCATAAACACTACTCTTGTGACCGTTGTTCAATTCATATAATATACATTAGAAGAGTTTATTTGACTTTTTAAACTGTTTCAAATGATCCTACGTGTGTGTGTGTGCTTTACGAATTACTGCTCTTGGATCTATTCAATTAGCATCATAGTTGGCAGGTATCAGGTGTAGATCGAATCCGATAATTTTTAGCTTCGTCAAGAGTTCTGTCGTTTGCGCGAAATTCTTGAAACAACCTTTGTGCTGAGCTTTTCTTAACTATGGCAGCACACTTGGACGATACACAGCGCTTAGAGGATTTTCTCACATAGTTAAGTTCAGGTTCAAACAGGGGCGTTCCTAAGCCATTGGCTGCCCGCGTACTTTCCTAAGATTGCCGCCCCAAAATTTAAAAAAAAATGCTCAATGATTAATAAAATTCTTATTTCATGCTCACTAAGTACTTACGTATGACAAAGTGAATAAAATGTACTTACAAATGACAAGTACTTACAACGAATTTAAAAAATTTAAAATATTTAGGTATGGTATCGGTAGAGTCCGGTCGCCCGCGTACTTTTACTCGCTACACCCCCGCTAGAAACGGCCCTGAGTTCAAAACAACAATAAGAAAGGTTTGATTTTTCTGATTTTTTTTTTGTTGTTGTTGTTGTTGTTGTTGTTGTTGTGATATGCTGGTACTTAAAATTTGTCAAGCTTAAAGTGTTTTTGAGAGTTTGGCGGCATGGTAAAGAGTTACAAGATCTTCAGATTCTCTCCCACAAGGTGTTGTCTGTCGAAACTGGGAAAGAGCTTAAGCAGATAACCCTCGTGAACTTTGCCTGAATCGTATAATCCAAACCAATTTATAATTCGTATAATCCAAACCAGTTCAACGGCTACTTGGACCCAAAGCATCTTTGAGTCTGCAAGTCACTTCGGCTGTTACATTACTTAATTAAGAGAGCTGATTCATGCAAACACATGGTTTTAATTGGCTTCTTTTCATCATTAATTCAAGAGTCTCAAATTAATCAGGATTTAGAAATTAAACATTGCCACTAATAGACAAAGCGAAATCAGCACTTAAAAAAATAATCTAAACTATAAACATTAAGGAATCAAATATTATTGAACAAAAGAAAGGTAAATTTCCGACCATGGAGCAGCAAAGAAATTACAAAGAGAGAAAAGCGCGAAAAAAATGTACGTGTAGTGTAGCTATAGTATGTATAGTTAGATGTATTATAAACTTTAAAAATTTAAATTTTGAAAAATTAACATTATATTTTAGCATTTGTTTTTAGATGTAAGTTATCATTTTAATTCTTCAAAATAAAATACTTTAAAATGCATACATTTAAAAAAATGTTATGCATTCTCAAAATTCATTTCCTTTGTTATTATTTTTCAGAAAACAGTAAACTGTAAACATGTCTAAGATTTCGAGCCGGACAAATGTCATACCAGATGATTATCCAGTGCGTCCTTCATCGACACAACAGAATGAAATTCAAGAGAACAGCTCTAGGAAAGAAAATCTTTCGACAACTGTCATACTCTGTCTAACGTACTTTCTTTACGGATGTGGGATCAGTATTTATGGTCCTTTATATTCGAAGGAGGTAATATGAGAAACCCATTAATATTTCACTATTTCCAATTTTTTATTAATTGTAAAACGGATAACATTCATAATATCCTTCTGATGGTTTTGAAAGGATAAATTTTAATCATTTTAAAAATACAAGAGAAACACTTCTTCTATATAAGAGAAATGCTTTTTTCGTATTAAAAATTAAACACGAAAATAACGATGTCAAATAAAAATTACATCATTTAAATACTGCAGGAAACCAAATTTCGTGACACGTTTGAATGCTGGATAAATTATCCCCAAATTTTGTGGAAAATATATAGATTCCCTAAAATTTTGGTTCTTGAAAAAATAAATCGTACAGTTTCTTTCATAACCTAGAATTAGTCTATACTTATAAATTCTGACATGCTGATTATCAAAGTACATGTAATTCAGTTTTTCTCAAAGAGCATCAGTAAATCAAATCATGAATGCATTATGAAAGCTATTCCTCAAAACTATTTCCACTATATGCATATATGCATTTTTTTATGTTCCTGTAGGTATTATCTGCTTCAACACCACGCAAAGTAATTAGGGGTATTTCGGGATATCATGCAAGCTCCTCCAGTTCCAAAATGCACAAAAGAAGAAAGAAAAAGTCTTAATGGTGAAGATGACAGCGGAAGCATGCAGTGTGAAATAGATGACAGATCATTCATATGTTAATTAAAACCAGTGGTAATATAATGCGTAAATCACAGACTAGAACAAAACTAAAATATTCTAGGAAATCTTTATTCAGTCGTCTTTACCTTGACATTTCCTTACCCATTAAGTTCAAATAATTGCTCAGCAATATGACTTATCTGAATCCGGGGAATGGAGAATTATTGGCAGGTTGAAAATGGTTGGAATATGGAGAACAATGAATGGAAGATGACAGATTGTCACAAAGGTGAGCAAATTATTTAAAGAAAGGAACGGTTAAGGCCATTCAAAAGCAAACCCAATAATGGATGACTATTATCTGAACAGCCTTCCTTAAGGATAGGAACCAAGTGCTACACATAGTTTCAGAGCGATTTCTTCTATAAAAAAGTAGGATAGGTTTAAATACAGGCAAAAATACAATAAATTATTAATTAATATAATTAAAATATAAATATAGTTAAAAATATAATTAGCAATATAAATATAATTAAAAATAGGATATTTTTTCACAGAAGCAACATGAGAGCTGCTCTTATTCGATTGCCCTCAACTACCTTTACTGAGATCCTCTTCATGCACGTAAATAAGCATTGTGCTACTATCGAAACCCATGACTATATGAACTGAAGATCATCTTGGTGAGAAACACGACGTTTAGAGACAAAACTATCTTCTCTGAGTAATCATGATATAATTTGGAGTCTACAAGTCCAGGTAAGACAAGTTCTTACCTGGAAAGAACACCAAATAACCCTACTTTTAAAGTATATGTAAAAAAAAGCATGTCAATACTACTTAAAATTAGGGGGAAAAATCAGCCTGTATAGGACTTTGATTTTACAGAAAACTCTACGAATTTTGAGGAAGACATGCACCAGTTCTTCTTCAAGAAGCAAATTTATTCCTCATTTATGGGCCACAAGTTTATTATAAAAAATAAGCGAAGAGAAAAAAATCAACAATCGTATCGCCATCTATCGAAAAAACTTAAACAAAGTTATGAGATAAGATTTTAAAATCTTCGGGAAAAATTGGATTTGAGTTAATATCATTAACTAATGTTGATATATTTCGGGAAATGCAGCTAAAAATCAACTAAAAACTCTTCTGTGTAATTTTGGTAAAACTCATTTAAAAAGGATTAAGAGACCAACAATGAGTTTTGATGGGAGACTTATTTATCTGTCACTTTTAGACACCGGATTCATGCTTTTTAAGGGAAAATTTGGTCCACTTGATAGATGATTCATAGACCAAATTTGTCCCACTGAAGAGGAAGGTTTTTAAAGCCCCCAAAAGCAAAATATGAAATAGATATTATAAGGACCGAAAAATGAATTTGTTTAATGGGCGAGAAAATAATTTGGAACTTGAAGTTAGGAAGAAGTTGAGCGAGATTTTAACTGACAGAATGAAAAACTGGGAAGTTATTGTCGTTATTTTAACAGCATCTGTTCTATCTAATGATAAGAAGAAAAAGTTTTAAAACCCTCTTAAAAAGAAACAATAAGAGACAAATATAACAGTAAGAGAAAAGCTTCTGTCAGTTGCAACAATTTTCAAACAAATGAGTTTCTGAGTAACAGAAGACTATAAAGAACAAATATTAAGAACATGAAAGACGTAAAAGGAAGCCACTTTTATTTGGCAAGATGAAAATTTGGATGCGGTGGGGAGATAAAGAAAATAAAAAAGCTTTCAGTAAACCGTAGTACAGAAATTAAACTTATTACGTTTAATTTAGCACTGTCTAGAATATTAAGCAAATGTAGGGAGCTGAACGACTCAATTTCAGACAGAAACTGAATTACTGGATCAATAGAATTCATAAGGATCTCTCTTGGCTAAAAGTGTCTAACGAACACAGGATACGAAAGTTAGTTTTTTTTAGTTAGTGGATTTGGGCTGAAAACTAGAAGACTAGAAGAATTGGGCTGAAACCAGAAGTAAGTACGACGGAATAGACTAGCCTACTAATATACCGTATATTGCCTCTCTGGGTGCGATGTTATTTCCTTTCATTGAATCCTTGATTATTTCTTCTTGGTAGTTGATAATAATCTTCGAATAGAGAAAATCAGGAGAATACGATTGCCCTGAGTTAGTTCATAACTCAGGCCATATTTAAATTCAGGAGTTAGGCCATATTTAGAAGATAATTTGCGCAAGGCTGGCCCCTTCTGAATCTAAATAATCATTTCATTGAGCGTTGAATAAGATGCGTTCAAACTTTGATAGCCTCATAAATTCCATGTCATTTAGGTTAATAACTTTCTTTAATGGCTCAAGAGGATCACGAACACTGTTCTTAAATTACCAGGTTTAATAGTCATTAATGCCAGCGGTACATAATTTCATGTAAATTAATAGCATATACCTTATAAAGCTGAATGAGAGTATTGCATAAAACACATTTTAGCGTTGTTTTTAATGATAGATTTTTGAATATTTTACCAATTTTAGCATGTAAATAATACCCATCTGAATATGACTCTCCCTTCCATATATATCTTGCTCCCCTAATTATTTTGAGAAAGCTAAATTTCATATGAGTATGCTACATAGAATCAGCATCAATCAATCTTATTTTGCCTGTTCTGCTTACACTTGATCATCTGCATAATTAATTTTGTTTTACATAATTATAAATATCTTAATGTAAATATATATACAACAGAATTACGTAACATAAAAAATATATCAGGAGTATTATATATACGGTTTAATTTCTAAAATAAGTAGGCCTAGAGCATCTATGAAAGGCCGTCAGGTAATATAAACAAAATTAAGTACAATACTAATTATTTAGTTAATAATCAAATTAAATAAAATGTAAGGAAATTAATAAAGAATTTATAAACTCAGTTAAATTAATAAAAAATAATTTAGTAATAGATTAAAATATTTGACCTTATCTTATTTGGGGCTCCTGCTGAAATTGCAATTTTACTCAGAAAGAGAAGTAACGGAGAACTTCAGTCGACTTCGGCTGAATTTAAGGCTTTATTTACATACAGTATACAAAATAAAACAGACATACAGTACACGTAATACAACATAACTACTTGATATAATTGCCAGTATTTATATTCTCCGAAAATTAGTTTCGTAAAGTAACAATTATTATTTTAATAGCGGAAGTATCCGATGCCAGTTAAGTTACATTGAGAGTAAAGTATCTAACAACAAAGAGAACAATACCGCTGTAATCCTTCTCTAATAACGATGCAAAATATAACGATTCATAGTCATACGTTTTTCAGTCTGATGCGATATGGAACCCACAAGAAAAAAAAAAAAAAAAAATCGATAGAAAAATAAACTAATTCTCTCTCATTCTATCGGCAATGATGGCCCGCATTTTTTAATGATTTTCGTCTTTCCAGTCAAATGATTGTAAAAGCTCAAGTTCCATCCAATATGTCACCTATATTCAATTTTAGTCGAATAAATGTGGCAAAAAATTGATCATAATTGATAAGAAATCAATAACGCGGACAAACAAACACACACACACAAACAGATATTCTTCTTTATATATATAGATTTTGTAAAACTTACAAATTTTTTATTAACAAACTCTACGATTTGAAAGCGAGCAGTAGCAACACTTTTCGAAATAAAGCATATTTATCTCCAACGCGCGAGACTGTTGCCACTCGGAAAAATGAGGGCGAAAATTAGTGTTTTCAGAGTTTTTATTTACTATCTCGGCTGATTAAAGTAGTACAAAGATGGGAATAGTCTAAATGGCTTCCCACGAATTTTTGGAATCGGAAATAATGCATTTAATGCTTGACAATGCTATTTTTATTTCATTGTGAAACTTACAAATTTTTTATTAACAAACTCTACGATTTGAAAGGGAGCAGTGGGAACACTTCTCGAAATAAAGCAGATTTTTATCTCCAGCATGTGAGACTATTGCCACTCGGAAAAATGAGGGCGAAAATTAGCGTTTACAGAGTTTATAATTAATGTCTCTGATTTTTTTTTAAACAATGGACGTCTACCTTCCCAGGACCCAGAAAAGAATTGTAGAAAATTTGGTGATGATAGCTATAATAGTGACTGAGTTAATCGCGAACAAACACACACATTCTTCTTTATATATATATAGATATAGATATAGATATGCACTATCTACAATAAATCTCGTGAGTTCTCAGAGTCCTTTAATACATGAGTCAGTTTGAAAAATCATATTTAGACTTAAATTCATGTCAGTATCTCATTAAAGAATATTCTTCTCTTTTTTACCAAAATAAGACAACCATATAAATGTGTGTGTGTATAAAGGACAGCATTTGCTTCAATATTTTGTACCATCTCTAATCATTAACCTTCATTGATTTTTTATTACGCTTTTCAAAATAAAATTAAATAACAAATCGAATTTTAGTTTGAAAAATATCTCGTGGATCCCTGATAACTCACAAGTTCTAGGTGCCCATGGATCACAAAACCGCTGTTGAGTGATAAAGTGTTAATTGTCCAGTATAAAATGCTTTCAAAAGTTATCGGAAAACAAACTTAGCTTTTCCAGTGTTTATCGCATATTATCTTCAACTAGTAAAGTAGTTTGCTTTTTCCTACTTTATACAATTTTAAACGTTTTTTTCAGACGGAGAAGAATGGGTTCACATCTACTTTATACGGACCAGTTATGGGAGTTAGTTTCCTGGTATCTGCAGTGCTGTATCCTGTCGCTTGTCGCATGGTAATTTGAGCTTTTGTACAGTACAGTTTTGTACAGTATATTTGTTCACTGAATTTTGGTTGTGACGCATTCAGCATCTCAACCTCTGTTCAATGCGTTGAATAAAAATTAGAGAAGTAATACAAGAAATATTATTCAATAAATTTTTGAAAACCTAAGTTTGATACTATAAGTTTTATCTTCAAGTCATTATTTTACGTTAAAAAGAGAATTCTTCGTGATGAAATTGATAATTTTTCTTTTGGTGAAATATATCAATAGTGCTTTAAAGATATAAACACATTATAATCAATGCGAAGTAACGGTGATCACTCATCTTACAAGGTTTTAATAGTTTGTAGATACATTAGGTATTTTTGGAAGCAGGCAAGATGAAAAATGAGCAATCGCCTTTGCCGGGAATCGAACCACGGTCCTCTGGAATACCAGCCCAGCTTGCAGAACTACTATACCACGAAGGCACGCTAGGAAGGCGGAAGAAATACCTTATATACTCCCCCTTTTAAAGGGCGACTGGGGTTTTTAGGGGACCCAATCGCCAAATCCTGGATGAGGAGAATCATCATCCAACACCCTTTTAGTTCGGGCGCACAGTAGAGACATTATGTATTTTTAGAAGCAGGCAAGATGAAAAATGAGCAATCGCCTTCTCCGGAAATTGAACCACGAACCTCTGGAATATCGGCCCAGCGTGCAGAACCAGTACACCACAAAGGCACTCTAGGATGGCGGGAGAAATACCTTATGGTTAATTTTTGATTATATATTGTTCGAAAAGATCAATCACGCCAACAGACGTCTGGTTTTATCCGGTACTTATTTGGAATATTTAATTTTAATTTGGTAAAGCTTTTCTAAATTATTAACTAACTAATCAAATTTATCGATACTTATGTTTGGTTGAAATTTATGAAAACAGATGGCTCAGGAACTGCCACATAGCATCGCAATTCTGGTATGTCATTTTGCACAGGCTTTTGTTTACATATGCTCTAGTACAGGTATTTCCAACGGGCTGAACTGCAATATACTTGATCTTGAGAATATGATGCAAGAAGATCTGATTGCATTGAAAGAGGATGTGCTGGCGCAAATCCTTATTCGGCAAATGTGTACACTGTTAAGTTTTGGATTTTAAAAATCGTCCGAGAGAAATGTTCCAAAACAAATGCTGCTACCGAGTCAACATTATTACTTTTCCCTCTTCTCACCTACTGGAGGCAACGCTTTACCAAAAACAAGAAACATGTTAAATATTTTTGAATAACGTGGTTTAAGAATTAAGGTCAGCAGTTTTATGCGAAATATCACAAATATTGTATCTTTATATCAAGCGCAATTATTACATTAATTAAAACCGAAATTTTGTGGAATTAAAATCTGTGACCTTTTCCTGAAGACTTGTTTATATTTGTAAAATTAAAAATGTTAATATAATTAATAAATATTATAGTAAAACATAAATATAATAAACCTTTTTTTTTTTGAAAACTTTTGCTAATATTCTTAGTCTAATTGTTATTTTTAGGTTATTTATGTGCAGTTTTTCATATTATGGTTACGTTTGTGTTATATTTTATAGAGGAAAATGCAAGAGGTCGTGGAAGAATACCGTTTTTTTTAAAAAGATTGGGAGTCCCTGCTGTAGTATATCGTTCAAAAATAAAAGCGTTAATTCTAAACATATGCATTTGAATATGTATTGAATAGAAAAGTTACGTTTATGGCAAACCACGTTGAAAATTTTAAAATATCAAACAGAGGCTTAGCAAGCATGCTTATGTTTAGTTTCACTTATCTTGGAACCTCGTTGTCTTATCTCATCAGTGCTAAATCATTCCATAATGGGAGAATGGGAGAAAACTTTTGACTTTTGATGTACTATTATCTACTAATCTTTTTACGACAGCTGCATCTGTCGGGAACGCGTACATATTGTAAAACAATCTTTCGCCGTTATATCTGAAACAAAGAACGTAAATACTATTGTACTGTTTTGCACACAGAACAGTGGTTCTCACCTTTTCTGCTCCATGCACCTCTTTCAACAGTGCTAGACGATCATCGCCCTCCTTTCCAAACTCGGAAAATACATATACATTTATTTAAATTTAGATTATACTTTGTGTTTTATAAATTAAACGAAGGAGCGATAGAAATGTTGATAAATACCAAAACTTGAATAAAAATAGTTTTTTACATTCATAAACGAAAACTAAATACTTAACTGGTAAATAAAAGGCTGACCGCCTACCCTCCCTTAAACTATAAAATTCACCCTAGGGGGGAGATTCTTGCCTGATTGAGAACCCCTGACATAGAATTTGCATTATATCAAACGCTGTATGAATACATTATCCTAGACATTTTTAAAGTATAGAGGAAGAAGGGGATAATTTACATAAAAATACATAAACTAATGTATACAAAAAATCTGAAACATTCACAGTTTTCAAATAACGTGAACAGATGGACCATTTGAAATTTATTTTTATTAAAATGTTATTTGTATTAAACCTATCCTACACTTCTGTTGTTACATCTACTGCACCGGAATACGTAAATAACGGGAATTTTAAATAAGGAGCGAAAGTCTAAGTTTAGGGTGAGAGAGCTATCAGCCTCAGCCTGTCGTGAAACACCTCTATTAAGTCTGCCTTTAGTTTTTGTTATTATGAGTTTATTTCATAAATTTCAAGCAGAAATTCAAATAAATATCTTATTATGTTTTTTTACACTTATGTAATTACTTAGTGTTTTAGTACTAAACGTTAAGAACTGGGTGGTAATTTCCCTGACAGTCTAAGAAAATTAGAGTAGTTATGAAGCCAGCATGAGTTTAATCTTATAGGGAAAATAACTGAAAGCGTAATATGCACTGAATGTGTAAGATAACAAACTGTACTATAACTGAAAATGTAAGTGAAGGTTTCACAGCATAAATTCTTTACTTTTTGTTCCCAAATATGCATTTTACCATAGAAACACGAAAGGACGAAATTTTTCGAAATAAGGGCTGATAGAAAGATGAGTAATATACTTTAACGAAAACTCTTACGTTTAAGTAGTCAGTTAATATGAAGAGTTGCTGAGAAGTTAATTAAAGCTACTGCTAAGCGTCAACTAGTGGTTTGTCTTTTTTTTCCACAAGAAAATGGCACAGAGGCAGAAATCTAGAAATTTCATTACGTCACTTCCCCATGGAAATATCGGTTACATATGGAAGATGTGTTATTATAATATGTTCTACGAAAATCATAAATTTCACGATCCTTCGCCAATTGTTTTCAGATCTTACATAGGCATTTCGAAACATGCAGTACCTTATTTAACAAATCCGCCAGAACCTGCAATAAAATTCATTAAACCAGAAGATACTAAAATATACATATAAACATGCAGTAAAATACAAAATTTGTCTGCTGAATATGAGTATGAAGGTAGTGTATAAATAACATTTTATATGTAAAGGATAAGGATGGAGTTTTTAAAAGTTCATTTTGCACAACAGATTATTGTTTAGTGAAGAAATATGATCGTGAAAAAGTTCGCGTTCGTTTTGAAGATTTCTTTCTCCAAATTTTCCGTCAGTGTTTTAGAATAGATTAAATACTCCATCTTCAGTTTAATTGTTCATTACACCTACCCCTCTCGAGAATGAACATCCCCGAATATACTTTTCTCTATTTTTCTCCCTTATGATCAATACAGCATCTATTTCTTGGTCCATTTTCATTGCCAGTCGATAAATATTATTTCCTCGCGTTTCTTTTCCCCTCACGTATTCTTCACCCTAGCCTTCTAGCTCCAGATTCTGAAAATTTCAAAAATATTCTGGTAAATTTTCTCTTCTTCAGTGCGTTCAGAGAGCGAGCTCTCCTAAATTTAAAAAAGGCCACGTAGTGATTGTTTTCGTCTTGCTAACAAAGACAAATCCTCTCAAACTACCCGCGAAGGTCACACCGAACCTTTCCATTTAAATGTTGAACTTTACGACAACCTAATACAAGAAACGATAGATCACAGAGAAGTAAACACGAGCTGACATTCAGTCTATGATTTAGCTGAGGCAGTTGCACATTCACCCTCTCTAATTATTTATGGTTGATTTAAGACCTAAGGAGTAGTTGAGACAACGATAAGAATGGGCGAGGTTTAGGTTACAGGGAAGTAGAAATGAAGACATTATAATTATTAGATGTTGTTATGTTAATATTACCATGTATTATTATTGGAATGGAGGTTTATTTTAAAGGAAGACTTGAGATAGCTACATGTTGTTTATCTATGACTATTTTTCTTTTGCTTTGTTCTTATTCTAACCGCGTCCTTCGTAAATTAAATTATTCACATAAGTTTCTCCTCTCGATTTCCGGAAAATAAAATTAATAAAAAAAAAGGTGAATGCGCGAGGAAATATACAGTATAAAATCAAAAAAGGTCAGGTCTGCTGAAAATTTACCTCCATACTTTGACAGTATTCTCTTCTTGGTTTTTGCAATAGCTTGTAGGCTGCATTTAATTGTATCTTGTTACTAAACTCCAACTTTAAAATATAAATTACTGTGAGTATTCGATTTCGCACTAAAACTCGCAGCATTAACAGGGAGTTTAAATATCTTAATTTGAGATTTTGACTAGAGATCTTTCAATATTTGTCATACTAATACTTTTTTTTATATTTCATATTTTAAAGGATCAAATTATTACTGTATACAAAGTCTGTAGTTCAGTTGTATAAAGGGTCTACAAAGAACGAGGTACGAAATGAGGATAATACTTAAGTACATTGAAAAGGCTGATACGCAATTTAAAGATGACTATTGAATTCAAAGGCACTTTCAGAAAAATTTCTTTGCATAGTAAAAAACTGGAAAAATTTAGTATGCAAGTTTGTTAAATGGCGATATTTTGCTTAAATGTTTTTGGAAAAGCAGAAAATTATTAAAATTGGGCTCGTTGAACTGGATTCGATTCCGTATAATTTCTAGAAAGATGCT